GGCCTTGAACTGAGAGTCTTCTATTCTCTGCCTCCCACACAGCTGGATTTATAGGTGTGAGCCACTGGGCCTGGACTATGTTCACTTCCTTCTTACTGTGTCTGACTGTACTACTGTAACTGTTATTTATTATTGTTATGGTTGTTGTTGTATCAGGGGTACATTGTGACATTTACAAAAGTTCTTATATCAGAGTTAAATTTGCCTTCTCCATCATTCTCTTTTATCTCCTCCCCCTTGTAACTATTCTTGTATTTCCATATGATTCTACCTTTCTTTTCCTGTCCTTCAGCATTTCTGAGTTCTCAATTAGATCCAGTGAAATGAATCTTTTCCAAGTGCTTTCACAGAGGCTAAATGGAATAGTTGGCATAGAACTCAACAAAGTCCCCTCTCTTGGGAAGAAGCAAATTTTACCATAAAGGTCACTGCCAGGTTCACCAAGCTTCTTCTCTTCTAGGAAGACTTCCAGACACACAGGTTTAGGAGCCGAGTGCTCATGTCTGAGCTACACCATCTCATTATCTTTACCATAGACCAGGCACTTAACTTTCAAGTGTGTCAGAATCAGCTGGAGGACCTACTAAAACAAATTGTGGGACCTGTCCCTACAGTGTCCTTTCCAGTTCCTCCATGGGTGCATACATGTATTATTTGTGTTTCAGGTGATGGTAATGCTATTGTTCCAAGGAGCCACACTTTAAGAAGCACAGCTGTAGAGAATAAGTCTGGATCACTGCCCTGAGATGGGGCAATCAGCTCCTCTCAGGAATTTGACATTTGGAACAAGGAGGCACAGGGATGGAGGCCTACTAGAGAAGGTCTTCAAACCTCCATTGCTCAGAGGTGCAGAGCTCATCTGGTTCCTGTTCTTCCTAAACCTTGGTTGGTTTAATCCTTTCAATAAATTTCACAATATGTGTTGTTTGTTTTGCATAAGCTAGTCATAGAAGTTGCTCTTGTCTGTCCCTAAAAAAATTTAATTAAGACATGAGCATATTAAAGTGTTTCACCAAGAAAGGAGAAACCATTCTAAGTATTTAAAACAGATAATATACTGTAGGGAGATACTCACACTGAAGACAAAGTATCTGAGAAGCCAATCATGGAACCCCAAGATTAGCAGTAGCAGAAAGCTATCCCCACTCCTAGGATGGAGGGACAAAGGAGAAGGTGATGTTAGCAGAGACCAGGTTGACCTGGAAGAAGCTAGAATGTTGACAGACGAGGCCAATAGCCGAAATGCTGCTACTACTGAGAGAAACATCACCAAAGACATCTCTGTAGAGGCCTTAGTTTCTCTCTTTCTTCTGCCTCCAATCTCCCAGTAGTGCCTCTCCATGCTAGCAAGCTTGGAAAGAAAGGCTTCCCATGATACTGAGGACAGCTGGGCACTGTGGAAAGATAAGTTATGTATCTGAGAACAAGCCGAGGATCAGCACTGTTCAACTCTACATTGTTCATTGTTTTCTTCAAAGTTCATTTTGCCTAATTACAAATTAGCATAAGATAATATTTGCTTGCTATATACTTCCCAATAGTCTCTTGTTAAATAAGTATAAGAATTTAAGGGCTGGGGGCAAAGGTCCAGTGGCAGAGCATATGCCTACCTAGCAAGGGCAAGGCTCTGAGTTCAAATCCCAGTACTGCCAACATTTATTTATTTATTTATTTATATAGTTTTTTCTTATTTTTTTTTACGAAACAGGATCTTGCTATGTAGCCCAGGCTGGTCTTAGACTTGCTATCCTCCTGCCTGAGCTTCTCATGTGCTAGATTATAGGACTGTTCCACCATACACAGTCTTTTTAATAGGTTTTTATTAACTTGTTTTAAAGTTAGGCCTGACACTTCTGAGATAATCTTCACAGAAAAATTGCAAATGCTAACAAGAGCTAGCATTTCTAGAGTGCTTTTCAGGCTGAAAAGTGTCTTTACATGCCTCATCTAAATTAATCCCCCCAAATCTTGTGAAGTATTATTGCTAAGCCAATTTTACAAATAAGAAAACAGAGTCTCAGAGAGAATAAACAACACAAATAAGCAAAGTAATACGGTTCAAGTGGTAAAACAGCGCAATCCCAAACCTAGGCTCAACATACAACCTTAACTGTTAGGAAACACCACACTATTCTGTGAAAATTCACTGTAGCTGTCTCATTTCCTCCCTTAACTAAATCTACCTCAAATGGATGTGGTGGCATCATTCCAACACTCAGAAGGATGAGGCAGGAGGGTCTGGGCTACATAGCTAGAGTCTGTCTCAAAAATAAATACATACGTAGCCAACGTCTAGAGTAAAACCTCATAACCAGATCTGACAGAAGTTACTTTGAAGGCTCAGCTCCATGTTCCTTAATCCCTCTGCCCCTCCCCCATCCACTCTCAGTGGTTCCACAGGTTTCTAATTAATAGGCCATGATTAGTGGATGAGGGAGGGCCTTTTATAAGCTCACTCCAGAACAGCAGCAGCTGCTTAAAAAGAAAAGGAAAAAAGTAAAAAATAAAAAATCCTTTTGACTGAGAATATAAATTAAGCTGGACAGAGTGGGTGCTTTTTTTAAAGTGGATTCTGAGACTACTCAGTCATCTAAAAAGAATTAAATATGAACATACACAATGAGTATGTGGAAAAATGAGTGTGTGTGTGTGTGTGAGAGAGAGAGAGAAAGAGAAAGAGAGAGAGGTCTACAGTCTGCATTTCTGATGCATGAGAGCCATCTTTGTTTCCCTTGGTTACCAATCAAACAGTGTGCAGGGATCAGTTCAAATCTGTCACCACTCCCAGAAAAACATTTTAAAGCACAGTCCTTCTATTATCTACATTTATTTGATAGAACAGCTCACACATGCAAAGTCACACATTTCTGTGCTTACTGTCTGTTGTGTATGTTATCCTTTATACGTGGACATGAGCTATGTCACATGGCAAACCCTATAATATTGTTATAATAGAGAATAGATTTCTTTTTTAAAATTCAGGCAGACCCTATCTTTTCCTTCATTGCTGAAAAGCCAAGAGAATTTCCCGCAAGGTGATTTCTCCTATAAAATGACTCCTCAGAGTGTGCCTTGATAACATATGTTTAGCTATAAGGATAACCCCAGCTACACATTCAATTTATTGACTCAATAAATTTTAGGTGGCTCACTGATTATGTTTCCATCTAAAAGCTTTACACAGCTATAAAACTGGGAGAGCCTTAAAAGCATCCCAGGTCAAGTTTCTTTCTGAATATTTTTTCACAATGAACTATGCAAAACATGAAGCCTATCCATTAGTTAGAGTATCACTGAATGTACCCTTGATCTGATCGCCAAAGGAACACTGTATTGTCTGGGTTCCATTTAAGACAATATTTGAAATGGACAGAATAGCTCAGAAGAGCAACATTCAAAGTCATCCTCTTTCAGTGGAAGAAAATGGGTCTGCTCTATAAAGAATAGGCTTGTTAAAAAAAAAATCAGAATTCAGCAAACATCTCTTTCAGCAAAATAAAACATTTTCCTTTCCCCTGAGATCCTTGACAAGTTCCACAAATACTTTTCACTTGATCCTAAGTGTTGAAGAACCAAATGAGAAGAGAGAGTTGTATCTACAGTTATAAGTGCAGAATAGTTTGAAATCTTAATTGTCAATCTTCATGTCTTCTGGAGATTTTGCTAGTGAAAATGAGTGTGATCAATCTTTCTTTGTGATCAAGACAGACCAAATACTATGATAACTTACTATGCTTTCACAACTTGAATAAGTGCCTTTTTTTTCGTGTACAAAGGCGTGAAGATTTGCTCTCAATGTTAAATTTTCATATTTGGTATTGAAATGAATAATGAGATAATTCCACAGAAAACTTCTAGGTATTAAGAAGGAAAATCTAAACCTAAAGGGTCAAGGTTCTGCTACACACCTTTTGCTTACCTTTAAATAAACATTTCGGTACATTAAGATCAGGACAGTCTTGAAGGGCACGATGTTTGCTTTAAGGTTTAAAAATTGTTTTTGAATGGGAAAGTATGGAAAATGAAGGGGATTTAAGGCTATATGGATACATACATACATAATTTTCTAAGACTTTAGACATGCACGTTATCTTCCCAGGAGGTGAGAGCCACCAGAGCGGGAAGTCGCTGCAGCGATGAACAAAAGCATGGCTGCGCGATAGTATTATCTCTGCAGCCGCAGAGGCTCCCTGACCGAGCATTGCGGTGACACTCTCTCCCTAGTCTATTACACCACATTTTTATTAGTGACAGCCTCGGGAGTCCTGACAGCCCAGCCGACTAAGCTGTTCTCCGCGTTCTTCGTGGTCACTGGGTCTCCGTTACGTGGAGAGAAGGAAAGAGAAGAGAAAGGTGAATTGAACCAAGTGGGGCGAATAGGGATTCCTCCCTTTCGCAGCTGGCGTGACCTCGTTCTCAGGGACATGGGGGAAATACCAGGGCCGCATTTAACCCAGTAACCACTGAGTCTAGGTATTACTTGTTTTGCGTGGAGAAGGCAAAGAAAGGCTTAATCAACCCTTTCCAGCTGGGGCCAAGAGAGCCGGGTTGGTCAGAAGTGCAGGGCCGGTGCACAGAAGCTCTGGGACCCCTTGCAGCGCTCGGAGCCCGCGCGCGGGGCGGAATAGAGGTCAAGTCAAAGGGCGCGACCGCAGTGTGCCCCTCCCTGTCGCCCGTGCTGTCCTCAGCTCAGCTTCTGAACGACCACCACTGGCACTCCAAGGCGGGAGGGCGGGTCCCGGCGGGGGCGGGACCAGGGGGCGGGGACAGAGTGACCGAGGTTTGTGTCGGGAAATGTAGTTCCAATCAGCTCGGTTAGCGTAGCTGTCTGGACTCCGCCTGCAGGGTCGGGAATACAACTCCCAGAAGTCTGCGGGCGCGGCCTGGGAGTCCATGCGCAGTGGGCGCCACATTGTATCCTATCAGGCGAGGAGAGGGTGATGTCACCTGCGAGTTGGTAACCTCTGAGCGGCTGTGAAGGAAACTGTTTAACCGGATCCCATTGTACCCAGAGCTCAGAGCCGCCTTTCCAGCATGCAGGGGCTGCTCAGGTACGGGGGACGCACCGTGTCGCCCGCCACATTCATTTAGTAAGTGGCACCGCGCGGTGGCGCGGGGGTGGGCGTGCTTCTTTGGGCCGGGCGCTGGATTTCGCGGCGCGCCCTCCAGCTGCCTTCCCGGAGCTCCCGGGCCAGTAGGTAAATATTAAACCCGTCCTTCAGGTTGGATCTGGATGGGAACGGGACCGAGACAGCTCCCGGCTGCCAAGCTGGGGTTTGGAAAATGGCTGCAAGCGCGGCACAAAACGAGGCGAGCCCGGAGGAAGGCGACCCCGGGGCCCGGGGTCCCTCCCTCTTTTCTTTCTGAGGCGCTCGGATGGCAGGGGAGCCGGTAGGGTATCACTTGCCGCTTTGCTGCAGGCTCCAGGGGCTGGGGTACTGGGGGTTCGTAGCCTCGGGTGGGAGCTGCAGGCTCTGCAGAAGCGGTCGGGAGCTCCTGCCCCGACCGGAGGCTGGGTCGGTGGTCACGGAGATGGCGACAGGGAAGGAGGGACTCGTGTACCCGGCTACGTCCGAGCAGATCCCCAACCATCCCTGCATGGCACGCTCACTTCAAGCCACACTCGAAAGGGAGGAGTGGCTGTAATTCAGGCAAAGTCTAAGCTGTAATGTTTCGAGAGAAGAGGGAAATCCGGCTTTGAGGAGGGAGCAAGGGTATTGGCGGACAGCGGCCGGGGGGAGGCTGCGCCACCTGCGGACTGGGTTCCAGGCTCCGCCGAGCGCTTCTGACTGGCATCCTTCTCCGGAGGCGCATCTCACTCTTTTCCTGTACTGAATCGCTCGCTCCTTCTGCAAAGGGTACCTAGGCTGGGGCGAATCGCCGGCCCCGGAACCCTGGGAGTGGGAGGTGTCGATAATCCAATGATAAGGTTCGCTGTGGGGCAGGATGGCTGGATAATCGGGTTTACCCAGCCGGTGCCAAAAGCCAACTGTCTGTGATCGGCTTGTCCTCTGACTGGAGACGTGCGCGAGGCCCGACAACTCTGAAGTCCTAAAGGGTTTTCTTTCCGTTTCCTTCGTACCCTCATCCGTTCGTTTTCTAATTCATTCATCAAACTCTGCTAAGGTCTCTCGTTGCTTGCAGCCTGGATTGGGGTGTTCGTCTCTCGCTTCCACAATATATTTTAGTGTGCTTAGTAGTAGATTCTTGTATCCATTCCCCCTTCCCCCTTCTTCAATCTCAGGAGACGTCAAGAGCGAATGCCGCCCGTGACGGTCTTGCTCCCAGTGAACGGGTAGTTTTCTTGAGATTCGAGCACGACCCACTGAATTGAAGCTCAGTTTGCCTGCAAGACGAATCCGGTTGCCATGGCGACTCCTGCCTGCGGAATCTTAACTGCTCGCGCTGCTGTTTCGATTCGTTGTGGCTCTGGGGGCAGCTGGGAGGGCGCGGCTGGTGGGTGTGGTCAAATGTTTGCCCTGGGCCCAGCTGCTCTCTCTAACTCTCTGGGTTCGTAGCCCCAGGACTCTCCCCATTGTCTTGTAAATAGCTTGGACGCAGTTCTTGGACCCCTTTTGCTTTTGCGTGCCAGTACCTCATCTCTCCACCTCCCTCTCCAAAACTAATTGTTTGGAGACTTTTCCTGAGGCAAACTCAGAAAATTACAAGTCGGAAGATCCCTTTCCCCTTTCAGGCTATTTGCATATTTTTGGCAGTAACACAGCTAATAATATTGGAGGCTGCTTTCTTAATGAGGGCACTGTCTGTTATTCTGCCTAAAGAGAGATCCCTGGTCACCTGTAAAGGTTTCCAACACGCCCTAGGGTGCTGTTACCTGGAAGTGGGCGGTGTGTGTGTGAGTTTATAACTGGATTTTGGAAGTCACTGCTATTCCTTGGGGTTTTCATAAAAAGTAAACACCTGCCTAAAGGACGCAGGTCCTTAAGAGTAAAGCACACGCAGCTGGGAGCTAGGAGACCTACGCCCAGCTCTGGCTCTGTCATTACGGGCTACACTGCCCTGGGGACCCTTTACCTTTACCTTTGGGGACCTCTGTCTCTTCATTAGTAACCTAGGGAGAGGAGTTTAAATAAAGAGTTCCTAAAGTTTGATTCTAGGTGTAAAATCTGTGACTTTAAAAAAAGACTCGGTCATTGTCTCTCCCTCCACCCCAAAGTAATGAGAGTTACAGCATTGTAGCATGTCTTTGAGCCTTACTTGTGTCACAAAATAGCCAACAAGCTCAGGGTAGCAACCCTTCAAAGTAGGGAAGGCAGGTATATATTTATAACATTGTTCATACTACTAGTATAATTCCAGTATCGGGACTTCTAATTATATTTTAGCCTTACAATTAATTGTTTAGGTTTGTAATTTACAGTCTTGATTTGTACCTTAATTGCATTAAATTATACAAAGATTTTTTTTCTCCTCTGCTTGAATTTTATACACACAGAGTGTTTTTGTGTGTGTACTCATGTTCAGGTGAACGCTTGGGATGCTGTGTGCCAGGTGGTTGATACTCATCGTATTGTCTTAAGTGGGTGTTTGCATCTCCATGAGGATGCAAGGCCAGAAGTTGTGACTTACTCTTTTATTTTTGTCCTAGAACCTATCATCAAAGAAAAATGTTCTTCATTTATCTATTTACTTAACTTCCATATTGAATTATAAGCTCTTTGAGGGCACAGTCTTTGTCTTGTCTTTGCTTCTTCTGAGCATTTAGAGCTGAAAATTAAGGGGAACATTACAGAGGATGGCATAGCTATCAGAAGAAAGAATATAGACCTGGGATTTAGATCTGCAATTTAATATTCATTCAACAAATACTTATTAAAGACCTACAAATGGACAAACACTTTCATCTTGGCCTAAACCAAAACTCTGGTGTAGCATCAATGGCCTTTCATGTGTTTGAAATAGTTACATTTTGTAGTTACTTTTGGACTATGTTTATCCACATAGAGTATTATTTTTGTAGTTTTGATTTCTTATTACCCTTAACCAGACATTTCTAGTTTTCTGTAAGTTGTACTCTTCTTGGTCCAGATAACGCTCCTAGAAGGCGTATGACAGGAGACTAGGGAGAGACCAGTGCAAAGATAGCTAAAGGCTTTTGCCAGGCCACCATTGGCTTCCAGAAGACCCTAGAGACAATAGTTCTCTCATCTGGGGTAGAGGGTACAGTTATTCAATAAACAGGATTGGTGTCCTAAGCTGACTGATAGGAGAGAACATTTGTCCAATGTTTGTAACATCTTGTTATCATCCAATAGATGATAAGTGTAAACTAATGGGAAGGAATGATAGTGAAGAGGCATGGTGACTCACACATACTTAGGTGGAATTTATGAGTCTTAGTGGGGTGCTGTTTGCTCACGCCTACAATCCTAGCTACTCAGGAGGCAGCAATCAGGAGGATTGTTATTACAAGTCCCTATCGCAAAAATACCCAACACAAAAAATGCCTGGTGGAGTGGTTTAAGTGCTAGAGTGCTTGCCTAGCTTTCCTACCAATTGTGAAGCCCTGACATCAAACCCCAGTACCACCAAAAATTTTTTTTAAAAAAGTGTGGTTTTATTTGAGCTACTTTGTTTAAAAGACTGCTTTTAGTGGGGTTCTCAGAACAAATAAGGTGTTTACAAACAAAATACAGTTAAAATTGAAAGTGTTTCATTTTGTAAATATTTTGGGGATGGATTTGGCTGGAGAATCTTGAGTTCTTTTATAGAAACACTTTAAAAGTTACAGCTGTTGAATCAGAGGAAACAAATCATGGTAACACTAGAGCATTAGGTGTTTGATTCAGGAAATAATCAACAAAGCTTGTCACTGCTGTGGTACTGTCCCTGGCTTGTAGGCATGCTCTGGTGTTAGCAAGTGTTAAGTGTATCTTCACAGTGCAGAAAAGAAAGCAACTTTGACAACAGCTTAGCAAACTTGTTTTCCCTACAGGAGGCCCCAAAACGAAAGTGATTTTTTTCCTCTTTAGATGATGAGTATGAACTGCTGTCACTTATTTTGACATTACAGATTCTTACTTGGTAATGGAAGAAATCTTATAAGTTAATGTCTGTCTTAAACACTCTCAGCATCTGTTCTTAGTGTTTTCCCTGGAAGCTCAAAAGTTTAGATGCAACTGATCACACAGGTGCTAGCTAGTTAAGGAATTGTTATGGAGGGATCTTTCTGTATGTGGTTCGGGAGTAGGTCTGATTGGAAGAGCATGCTTGGGCAGGCTGCTGTGGAGGATGTAACGCTCTTAAAGTTATATTTACTTAGCAAGTGTACAAGTCTTTTATGTAAGATTGTGTTATTTACAGTGGCCCAGGCTGCTGGAGGCTGAAATTGAAGGGTGGATCTGAAGTATCTTCCACCGCTTGGAGGGATTACCTCCTTAGTACTTCACTGTAAAAGGGACAGATGCAGATGAGATGCAAGTTGATTTTGGTGACCTGCATTCTACTCCAACAAACTCTGCAGAAAAAAAAAATGTTGTTTACCTTTTGATTTTCTGTTGTCCTCTCCAGTGTTCCAGGAACAGAGATCAGAGTTGGTGTCAGATAGAGTTGGAATTTATAGTGTCTAAAAATGGGTTGAAGAATGTTGACTCCTACATGTATATAGAGTGTGCCCTGCCCACCAACCCCAGTTAATCTGAGGTTAGCAAATATGTCCTCTGTGCTTCTTTTCTCACTGTTTTTTAAGAACTCCTGGTTTTTACCTCTCTCTCTGGCTTTCTGCTGCAGTGGTTCCCCCATTGGGGATTTAGTGTCTAAATTCTCATGTCTTCAGATCCAGCTCTGGTGCCATGGCTTTCAGGAAGTTTTCCTTGACTTATCCCTCAGTTTTAACCCTTTCCTCCTTAGCCCCCTTTGCCCCCAGGATGCTTAGAGCCAAGGTGGTACTAATAGCCTATTCTAGCCTATTCTAGGTGGTCATTTCTGATGCTTCACATAGGCTACCTCCTTGACTCTTCACAACAACTATATGAGGTTGGCACTAGTGTTACCATTTTACAGATGAGGCACCTGAGACATGGAGAAGTTAAGGAACTTACCTAGGTCAGGCCACACAGCCTGTAAGAGGCAGGCCAAGCTATGGACCCAGGCAGTCTAGTTCTGTCCACACCATACTATTGACTGGCCTCTGGCTCTCCTGCATTATTTTTTCTCCTCCAGTTTGAGTTGGGAGTCC